ATTTGAATTTATTGCTTGATCATAATTATAAAACTGCTTGTATGTATCTAACTTATACAATTAGCTATTCAAATACATTAAATATTCAAGCGTATATAAAATATTTAAGCAAATATTAAAATTAATTAAAATCATCCGAAATTAAATGTGCAATTATTAAATGTATTGCTAGTAAGTAATTTTTCTAGCTCTTTATTTTTTTGTTGTTTTTGATTCTCTCTTTTATCATTTTGACTAATTTGCATTACATTTTGGCTAATATGAATATTTTGGTCGAGCTCAATTAATGTATTTCGTGTACTTCGTATTGGTAATTCAGTAGCTTGTGACGAAAGTTCAGGTGTATCCCGTGATGGTGGATCAGGTGTTGTTACCAACGTATTATCCTCTTAAATTTCAGAGCAAAATGAAGAATAACTACTTGCTAGAATAAAATCTCTGTATAAATTATTAGACTTCTGTTTCAAATTATTGTTACTTTTGATCTTGATCTTCGTTAGAAGTATTTGTAACCAAAGTTAATATATTAAAAAAACCACCCAATCTTTCTTGTTGCAAAGCTGACTTTGGACACTTATATACCATCAGAAAATTTTTAATTAGAGTAGATATCGATTACTAGCTGCAGGGGTGATTGTCATTGATTAAAAGAATCATTAATAATCGATATTTGATTGTTAATTGATATATAAATATTGCAATCGATTAAAAAATAATCGATTCGATTATAATTAGTTAGATGTTTGCAATTGATTAAAATATAATTAGTACTAATTAATTCTTATAATAAATTGATTATTATATCCGTTTTTAGCTTTTTGCTTGTCTTTTATATGTGCTGCTCTTTTTTATTTCAGGAGAATTTGAACTGACTTGATCCAATTTTTTACCTTTTCTTTATTTGAGGTTATGGTTGTATTTTCAGTTAAGCTGCTGATTTCCTCTATTGCAGAAGTTTCTTCTTCTTTAACAGAGCTTTGCTCTTCCATAATCAAACTTCTCTCTTCTCTAATAGAATTTTGTTCCTATAATCGAACTTGTCTCTTTACCAATTTTTTTTATCTATCACTGTGTGAATTTTCGCTTTTAATGTTCGAATCCTTGCAACTTGCCTCTAAGCCAGATAGAACACTTAGTTCAAGTTCTTCTCATATAACAATGAATTCGTCCTTGTCTTCACTATAAACATCAATGAGAACTACATATCTTCTTATCGCTTTATGTATTTTAACTAGCAATTTCTTTTAACAACTAAAATACTCTGTTTTCGCGTGAATAAAGCTTTGTGAATAACAACATTTCAAAGGTAACTTTGGTATCATCTCATAGCAAAAAAGCATGTATCATTGTGTACTCTACGTGTTTGAAATATAGTTTACTGTGTTTAATATGACTTTGTCATCTAACTAATTGATATTTTATTATATATGGTGAGATCGATATCAATATAGAAAAACAACCCTTCAAATATTCGAATATAGAATACTTTATTCAAATATAGAAGCTTTAGTTATCTACAACCTCTTATTTTTAACAAAGAATTTATATGTAATCTTAGTTACTTATTACGATTTTTTTTATCCATTTATTAAATCGGAATTTCAGAATTTGCTAACGTTGAAACAGAATTTCATTCACTAATCTTAGTTTTAACTTTTTTATACATTCGTAAGTGACATGCTACGTATATTTATATAGATTGAATTTAGGTATCTACACTTATACTATGTACCAGTAGTACTGTTACTAATATTTCAGATTGACTACGTAAAAAAGCGTACATATCGGTATTTATATACTGTACAGATATAGTTACTATTGCTATGCTAAATTCAGTAATAATTTTTTTAATAAAGTGAACATAAGAGGCTTCTAAAAAAAAAAGATCAGATACGATTGTCACAACCATATTCACATGTTAGTCTTTTATTTGCCACTGATTAGCTTTTATGTCTTCACAAGTAAGTATTTATCATTCGTCAGTGTCCAGTCCCAGTCTTTTCAAAGACTAACTCACTCTTGGTCAAGAAGCATAATTAAACATATGTAATTTGATAAATATGATCGATTAATAAAGTTTCTAGTTATTTAAGTGTATATGACATCACCAATAGTTGAAAAAAATCAAACCGTTTAGTTTATACTTTGTTGTATTCTTTGCAGTTGTGCAAATATTGATATGCAATACTTCCGACTAAAAGATCGTCTACAGATGTTAAAATTTTAAATCTGTAAATTATAACATTTTTTTTAGTACTTATAATAACTAATACTATGAAATAAAGAATCATGCTCACATGGGTTGGCATTAGTCAACAGCGAGTATATCGACAAGACTTTGGAGATCGTCAAGGAGACCAATTGTTCTTAAGAATATCAAGACAAATTTGTCCTGAAAAATTAATATTATAATAGTAAATACGTGTACGATAAACAACCTACTTACCAGATATTATAACATAATACAACGAAATTTCCTATAGTCTGAGCGATTATTTTGACTCTTCCAAATAACAACAAAGTAAAATTTTTTTATATTTAGAGGCTTGAATAGATAATCCTGTAGAAAAGTAATGTCCAAGAAGAAAATGCACTATCATATGGAAAACTTGCAGGTCCTGTAATAGTAGATGCCTGTTCATACAAGTTATCATCTTTTGGCTTAACATTAAAAATATTAATGTGAAAAAGTTAATCTGTGAATAAACAAAAATCTTAAAAAAGCAGAACTGCCATTGTTATATTTATAATATAAAAACACAGATGTAATTTAGCTTGTTGTGTTCGATAGAATTGAGGTTCAATAATCCTTGCACAAAATCAATAAAGGCCAACCGATTTTGCATTTCTGAAATATAAAGTTTCCTTTATTTGATTAGCTGTATATTCATAATAAAACATGCAACAAATTATTAATAATGTATTATCACCTTTATCAGTATCCTTTTGAGTTACACCTTTCCTCATTATCAGATAAGATTTTATAATTTTAGATAAAGTTATATATGATATCAGAAAAATAACAACAAAAGTTATAGCAAATATCATAAAGTCTGAAGGTAAAGGACTTTTCAATTTATGAACTTCTATTCTGGGATATATTCAACAAGGTGGTGCATCTTCGTCAATAGATCGAATTTGCGCTATATGAAAAAAAATATTCCAAATCTTGGAAGGTTGCTCTAAACAATTATTATCTCTCTTGTACTGCTCCATCGTTTCAGACGATATTTTTTTTGACTATGCTTATTTGTATACTATTCAAAATATTCTTGAACTATTATCAACTTCGATCATATATAGTGGCAGAACGCCTAACATTTCGAGAGACTTGATTATATTTTAAGCTCTCCGGAAATAAAGATAATCTGAGAAATAGTTCTACTGCAATGCATCCTAAGGGGGGCCATATGTCTATTGCAGATGAATATCAGATGACAATTAGTAACGGTAAATAAATATTAATAAATCATGTAATGTGCAGCGAATATTTCATATTGATATACTCACAAAAGCCCTAATAATACTTCTGGACTTCTATAAAATCAGGATTAAATAGTGCCAATTTGATTGTGGGTGACTCTAGGCACAATATGCTATATATTATAGAAATATAAATCGGAAAGTGATTTTAAATCATGCTGAAATTCGAGTTATAATTTTTTAAAATAAATATAAAATCAAATAGAGTTTTCTCTATAGTTTATAGCCAACAGTTAGTTTGATTTTATGTGGCTTACTAAACTTCGTTCTAGTACTACAAATATCATTGTTTAACATAAATTGTACTTACTTAACTTGCCTGTAAACCAGACTCTATGTACTTCATACTCTGTTTCTGATATTAATGTGAATATTACAATAAATACGTCGTATTTGTATAATTAGTGTATTTGAATAGCTAATTGTATAAGTTAGATACATACAAGCAGTTTTATAATTATGATCAAGCAATAAATTCAAATTATCTGAGTTATTACGTAATACAAACCATTATAATCGATTATAATTAACGCTAATCGATTTTAATCGATGCCAATTGATTTTAATTAAATCAATTCAAATCGATAAACTTGATGCTAATCGATTATAATCTTAATCGATTCTAATTAACAATTTCATTGCTAATCGATTTCAATCTATATCAGTGATAACCCGCAGGGGTGATGCTTATCAATTGTCACCTTAGGTATTAATCGATATCCACCTTATTTAAAATTTCCTGATATAAAATTCCTAAAAGTTTTATAATTTATATTTATTCATTTAATAATACTATTAAGTTAATAAGAGTACATCAAGAAATTTTTAAATAAGGTGCATCGATTACTACGCATTTGCAGAGTAATTAGTATTCAAATCTAAATGATTGCAATTGATTAGTATTGATTTATATTGATTACAATTGATTGCAATCATTTAGATTTGAATGATTATGATCGATTATAATTAATATTAATTGCTACTACTCTGCAAATATATAGTAATCGATATGCATCTTATTTAAAAATTTCCTAATTAATATTATACCTTATATCCCAACATGTATTTATTTCTGGATAAATAGAATAATAATGATTATTACTATTATTAATTGCATCTTTTATATTATAATATGTTCTAGGTGATATTGTAGTTAATTCTATATTATTTAAGTCATCCTTCGATATTAAACA